GTGCCCCCCTTTCCTTCTCCTTCTCCCCCTTCCTTTCCCCCTCCTAGTAGGAGTAGGAAAGAGGGGAGTCCTACTCCTACTAGGAGGAGGAGGACTCCTCCTAGCGCGCCCTACAGGGACGGGCGGCCTCCCCCCTTGCTCCTTTATATACGGGGGCAGGGGGCACCCTAGAACACACAAGTTGATCATTGATCTCTCCCAGCCGTGTGCGGTGCCCCCCTCCACCATAATCCACCTCGGTCATATCGTAGCGGTGCTTAGGCGAAGCCCTACGATGGTAGCTTCATCAACATCGTAACCACGCCGTCGTGTTAACGAAACTCTCCCTCGAGCTCTACTGGATCGTGAGTTCGCGGGACGTCACCGAGCTGAACGTGTGCTGAACGCGAAGGTGTCGTACGTTTGGTACTGAGGATCGGTCGATCGTGAAGATGTACGACTACATCAACCATGTTGTCATAACGCTTCCGTTTAACGGTCTATGAGGATACGTGGATGACACCCTCCCCTCTCGTTGCTATGCATCACCATGATCTTGCGTGTACGTAGGAATTTTTTTTAATTACTACGTTCCCCAACAAACATTATGTGTTCTTGTGTTTCTGTTGTTTCTTCTTGCTCCTGTGAAAGGTTTTCTTCAAAGTTTAACTGCATTTCTTCTGGTGCTTCTTGTTGCAAGAGGTGGACATTTGGTATAAGTTTGCACTTGTGGCCATGTACCCATTTATCTCCGCATCTCCAACATTCACCCACCTTTCTTAGTTTCTGAACATTGCCTGTAGAGTTTTCAGTGTTCTGATTGATTGTAAGTTGTTGCGCAGGAACAACAGCAGTGTTTGCTTTGTTGGTACTTCCCCCACTATTTTTCTGATAATAGTTGGTGTAAGTAAAACCTTGTTTCTGCACAGTTGCAGACATAGGAGGATGATTAGGTTCAATATCTCTTGCTAAACAATATGCATCTGTGAGTGATTGTGGTCTTAATGGCCTGATTTGAAACTTAATTCCATCTCTTAAACCATTCACATAACATCTGACAAACCACATCTCTCCTAGCTCAAGATTTCCTTCTTGTACTTCTGCCATCAAATCTTCAAATTCTTTAGTGTAAGCTGATACTGTATTGTTGATTTGTTTCAGACTAGTAAACTTTTCTGTTAGATCATAAGTCCCCTATTCAAAAAACCTTTTTACCACTTCAGCTCCAAATTGTTTCTAGTTCAACTGTTTCTTTAAGAGACAAGACCTTCTCAACCAAGTATCTGCTTCATCAATAATGTACATCTGAGCTAGAGATACTTTATACTCTTCAGGTGCCCCAGACATTTGGAAATATTTATTGCATTGCCTTATGCAGCCTACAGGATATGTGCCAGAAAATCTAGGGAAATCCATCTTAGGCCCTCTAGTAATAGATTTCATGAACTGAGCTTGCATGTCATGTTCATATGTTTTATAGCACCCCTTCCATAACTGCATATCCCTGTTCTGTTGATATATTTGATTGAATGCAGGAGTATATTCCTTGTTTCTGCCTATTACTGGAGTTCCCATCTGACTAGTTGTGTCTTGTCTGCCCTGGTTATGGAATCCAGGAGGAACTGCTGGTCTATTAGTCCTGATAGGAGGTAAGTTGTGGAGCTGCATATCTTCTAATTGCTTTGATTTTTCCTTTTTTGTTGCTAGTTGTTTCCTCAGTTGCTCCATTCTCGCTCCATGTTCCTGATTTTGTTCCTGATGAAGCGTAGGAGACCTCACTACCTCTGCTGAACTGGATGGTCGGTCAAGGTTTTGTGTTGCTTGGCTTGATTTTACCAGAGAGGTCAGCACATTACTGATGGCAGATAATTGCTTGCCAAGATCCAAGACCACTTGTTCTATTGTGCCCACTGTTTTTTCAATTTCTCCTTGCTTAGAGTCGATGGACTGCACCTCGTCTTGCAACTTGGATACCTGAACTTGCATCTCCATGTTGTCCTTCTGTAAAACTACAAAATCATCATCAATTGCTAGCACCTCTTGCAGATATGCATCTTCTATTGCCTTGGCTCTATCCATCTCCTTGATCCAAGGTGTTGGTATGGAATTTTACCTCTGGATCACCAGGAACCCTTCCCCAAACCTCGAATCCTGTCGCCGCCGTGATCCGTGCCTCCTTGGCACACGGATCAATGCTGGAACACGGAATTTTACCGCTCGAGCAGTGTGCTCGAACAACCGCTTCCGCTTGGTCGATCTGTGCCCGAATTCTTGCCGCCGCCAGCGCCACCCAACCGGTCCCCGCCGCCAACGCCACCAGAAAATCCTGCCGCCGTCGCTGCTCACGAAGAAGGGTGGGAATCACCGATCTGGAAAAAAATTCCCCATCAGAGCGTGAATCTGCCGAAGAACTATGGCTCATGATACCATTTGTCAGGACCGATCTATACCTATGCGAATTTAGCGAGTAAATCAAGAGGATTTGGTGCTGGGAAAGTCTCAGATCTGTATATATTTGCTATTGATTTAATGTTGGAGTATATCGCAAGCCATCGAGGCGATTCTGGAAAAGAGAGAGATGATTCACACCAACCACATCCCGACTGGTTATATAGGCGAATAGTTACCGACAGGTGAAAAGTAACAGTAATTATTGTATAACGGTACATTAAGGGAATCAACGGCTCACGACGAAGCGATATTGCGAGGAGGCCTCCCGATCGTTGGATAACTGAATCTTAACGACACCAGCAGGTTCAGGCCTGACAGTCTGTCCCCTGGCCTCGGCGAAGACGGTGTCGAGGAGGGAGGGCGCGCGGGGCAGCTGGTGGGGTAGGCGGCATTGCGGCCGCTGGGAGGGCACCGCGGCTGAGGCACGCGCTGCGACGCTGTGGGGGGGTGTTGCCTGTCGTGCCATTGCGACAGAGGAAGAGGAGATGGAAGAAGCGGCGAGAAGCCCAAGTTTTTTGTTTTCTGTTTTTTGGAGAGAGGGAGAGAGGCCTGATATCACGGATCATTTCTTTACCTACTAATAAAGCGGCTATCGCTTCTGGTCATCCGTCGTTAAAATTACCCTTCATGTTGGTAAAAATTACCCACCAATGCCACCCGTAAGTGGAAAACGATTCGTTTTTCGGACTAAAAATCGCCGCCTCCCACGCTGTTTTATAGCTGCAAGATGAGCAGTAGTCAATGAGCGATGAGTAGCAGGGTGGTTGGCCTATTGCTCCTCTAGTGACGAGACTCAGGTTTGATCCCTAGCGTCAACAATTTTTTATCTTTCTTTTCTCACGCATGACCCATCTATGCATTCATGGGCCGGCCCATGTGCGGGGCTTTACTCCCCTGTTTCTTCTCATTTTACTTTTCTGTTTTTTATGTTTTCTTTCTTCTTTAAATTAATTCAGGATCTAATATTCTAAAGTTACGAGTTTTCAAACAAAATGTTTGAGAAATCATACAATATATGTGAATTCAAAAATGTTTAGAAAATCATAAAAATATTGCAGATTCAAAAAATGTTGGTCGTTTTGCAAAATTGTTCGCAATATTATAAAAAAACACAATTTGGAAAAATGGTCGGGAAATAAAATCAAGTGCATGATTTTGAAAAAATGACCATGTAGTCAAAACATATTCGGAAATCTGAAAAAAATGGCCATAACATTTTAGAAAATGTTCACAAAAAATGATTTTTAAAATTTGTTCCCCAATTTAAAAAAAAGTCATCGATTCAAAAAATGTTTGTTGAGTCAAAAAATGTTAATGAATTTGAAACCGTTTCATACATTTAAAAAGTTTGTAAACAAATGTAATGTTCATTACTTTTTTAAGAAAATAAAAAATTTCAAAAAAACATGTTTGTCGATTCGAAAAACTGTTCACTGATTCAAAAGTATTTTATGTTTAGGATTCGATTAGTTTTTTGAAAGTCTTTATACGTCTTGGCGCTGGGAGTAGTATGTAGTTAATGAGATTTGTTTTTAAAGTTTTAAACGTCCCCTTGCGCAACATAATGACAAATGTGGCATGCACTGGCAAACTCATAGGCTTGGGATTTACCACGTCGAATGCATTGTGATCACGTGGACATCGCAACCACCATCGGGTAGGGTGAGAAAAAAAATAGCAACATGATGAGCCACAGTGTTAAAATAGAGTACGCTCATGTGTCAGGACATTGAATCATACTTATTTAGTTAGTCATGATTTTTGTGTCTCTCGTTGCAATGCACGGGCATATTTGCTAGTCATTACTTACGCATTGAGTCTGAGTCTCAGTTAGGCCCGTCGTGGAGGTGAGGCCCGTGACACTGAAAACTGTGAAGCCCAAAAGGACGAAAACATGTTTTTTTCTTCTTGCAATCGTTGAGAAAGTCAAAACACCAATACTCTCTCTCAGAAAAAAGCATTCGTACGGGTCTCTCTCAGAAAAAAAATGTATTCAGGGGCACGGTCACGGTCAAGGTCAAGGTCAAGCCATCCATTCATTTTCCACAGCCCACAGGGTAAGGCAAGGCGCCCCTCCTCTCAAACAAAGTCCAAAGCCACCAGAGCCCAGTCGCGCGTGCCGTCTTCTCTCCGTCGTCGCCGCCTCGGTCTGCCATGATAGCGCCAAGTACCAACCGCCCGTCAAAATGAAAATGTATGTTCATCCAGGACGAATTTGGTTCATTTTTGGATGCATACAGGACAGGTGCCGTCTTCTCACACATTTGTCACGCCTAATTCATGGGAACTTACCCCTCTGCAAATGAAAAACTCTGTATGTCACACAGAAATTTTACAAGGAACGCAAGACTTCAGAATGATTCGTATCTCAAGTTTCGGTGAAAATGAAATCCCAGTGGTGTAAATTTAGCTGAGTCATTTCTTGACCTACAAACAGGTCGAAAATAGGGGTGTACTAGATAGATATGGAGAAAGAAAAAAACTAGCCAACAGTTCCCTGGTATAACCCTACTATGAGTTTCTACGACTAGCAGCTAAACACAATTGAACAGATCATTACTATGAAAGACCTAACATGAGAGGTCGCCGGACGGGAGTAGAATGATCTCCATACTTTCATCCTTGGCAATTCCATCATGGCTCGAACTCAACTGCGCATCGAAATTCATCTCCCCGCGGCAGCTCAAGTCTCGAAGCAGAGGAAGTAGAGGCTCTTCTTCTTCACTCTTCAGAACAGAGTGTTGTTTCATCAGTCTTCTCAGCGCTTCAAGTTCAACCGCAACCTCAATCATCCTCGGCCTCTCTTCACCTCTCAGCCTCAAGCATCGCAAAGCCAGCTGCGAGACCGTTTTGACATGCCGCATTCCAGCTTCCTCGGCCACTTGAGAGTCTACAATCTTCAGCAACTGGTTCTGATGGAACATCGTGCTAAAATGCATCGCTAGGCTTCTCACCTCGTCCATCTGTCCGCCACATATTGGTTTCTCCCTTGTCAGTAGCTCGATGAGCACCACACCGAAGCTGTAGACGTCGCTTTTCTCGGTCAGCTGGCTTGTCTGGAAGTACTCAGGGTCCATGTACCCTAGTGTGCCCTGCACCAAGGTCGTCACATGGGTCTGATCGCGGGGTATCGGCCTTGACGCGCCGAAATCGGACACCTTTGCGGTGAAGCTTGTGTCAAGAAGTATGTTCGATGACTTGACGTCTCTGTGGACGATTGGCGTCTTTGCAGCTAGGTGCAAATATGCAAGTGCCGATGCAGTTTCAACTGCAATCCTCAGGCGGTCCTCCCACGACATCGGGATTGATGTATTGTGAAGATGATGAAAAAGGGCCCCGTTGGTGATAAATTCATAGACCAATAAGGGAACTTCTGCCTCGAGACAGCAGCCTAGTAGCTGAACCACATTCTTGTGGGTCACTTGTGAAAGAATGACCAGCTCATTCACGAATTGCTCCACCTGGCTCTGATCAACCCGCTGCGACCTTTTGACTGCTACAACCGTTTGATCTGATAATATACCTTTGTAGACTGTCCCGAATCCACCTCTGCCAACAACATTGTTATCGCTGAATTTGTTGGTTGCCTTGTCAAGCTCACCTGAGGTAAATATCCGCAGCGGTGCCTTCCGAGAAAGCATCTGCTGCTTCAGTAAGACACCACCATTCTGCATAAAATATCTCTGTCTTTTCTTCGCAAGCTTTCTCCTCTTAACAAGACAGTGAGTCCAGAAACTGAAAACAAGGAGAAGCAGTAGCAGAGCTAGTCCCACAACTGCAAAGGCACAGTAAAACTCGGAGGATTATTTATTTGGTCAAGCATTAATCTAACTCAACATGCCTCCTGTACAGTGTAAACATCCATCGCATGACAAAGCAGTGAGATAGGGCTTCAGAAACTTGCCTATTGAAATCTGCAGCGTGCCAATTCCATTGCAGCCACTTCCATCCTTTCGGCCATTACCACTCATCCCTGATGGGCAAGTACAGTTGAAACCGCCCTTCACGTTGATGCAGCTATGTGTGCATGGATTTCCAAGGAAGCACTCATCGATATCTTGCCGACAGTCACATGGAACCAAACAGATATCAGATATGGGTAGTTCTTGCCGATTATTAAGCTGGAAAACAAAAACTGAGGAAACAAATAAAGTCAGAAAATATAAGCACATACGTGTTCGTTACCTTGGCATCCACCAGGCCCTTGCAGGTATGGGTTCCCCTGAAACCCGTTGGTACAATTGCAGCGATATCCAATCCCATTAGACGAGTTATAGCAGTAAGAATTCTCCTTGCAAGCATATGATGCAGAGCGGCTTGCCTCCTCACAGCTGCCACCATCTATGGACCACTCAAGAACAACATGCCGGTATTGAGGAGGGCTTTTATTTGAGTTGTTCAGGATCTTCAGGTCAGCAGTAGCGAAAGCATAGGAGTTCTGCTCCACGATGAACGCCTCAGCACATGCTGAAGTATACTTGCTGAGGCTGGCAGTTATGTTTATGTTTGTGAAATCTGAATACAGCTTCTTCAACCCCTTTGGCACCGGTGCTTGGCAGCAAGCCACACCAGAGCAAGCACCATCGACGATGCTATTATTAGAGCAAAAAGAAGCGCAGCCACCGCTGTAACCACCACTGGTACCATTCACCAGCATGGCCACCATATTACAGCCGACAGCGGTGAACTTGTTCCTTGTATCGGAGAAGGTGAAGTTTGTCCCCTCAAGGCTGAAGCTAGCAAAGTTCCCTCTGCACTGCGGGGAACGGGAAGCGGCACTAGCCAGGATGGTCACATAACCATCCAGCAGGGAGATGTTGAGAATACTAATTGAGTTGTTGCCTATGGGAAGCCTAGGGCCAGATGAAGTACAATTGATCTCGAACCCTTGAGCTGGGGAGGGGCTCTGGCCATGGACACCAAAAGGATAAGGGATAGAGATGTTGGAACTTGAGCATGCAGAGGTACTCAATTCCATAGAATGAACAAAGAATGGAGAGAAGCATGTGAGGAGGAGCCATGGCAGGAGAGGAAAGGGAAGCAACTCCTTCTCCATTGGTCTTCGGAAACAAACGGTAGGCTCCAACGCCTATTTATCAATAGTTTCTCAGGAAACCGAGGGGAAGAACCACTAGCAAACACTTGCCCGTGGTTCTCTGGTACCGTGGTACACTCTAATTTTCTCTTGTAGGACAATACTGGGGCACCGTTTTCTCATCTTATTGTGGTCTAGTTTCTGTAGTGGGGCACCGTTTTCTCAACTTATTGCGGTCTAGTTTCTGTAGTGGAAGCCAAGAAGGTGATCTATTCGAGACTCACAGCCACA